GGGGGCCCCCCCAAGGGGGGCCCCCCCAGGGGGGGCCCCCCGTATCAAACCCTCCTCTATATCGATTTCGTTTGCTGCAGCAGATATACCGTCAGGGGGGCCCCCAAGGGGGCCCCCAGGGGGGCCCCCAGTGGGCCCCCCCCCTTGGTGCATCTGTGCTGCTGCTGCTGGCTGCAGCTGCAGCGCGAGGGCCCGCAGCTCTTGGAAACGATCTCTCATTTTCTAAACCCTAAACCCTAAACCCTAAACCCTAAACCCTAAACCCTAGGAGGAGGTTGATAGGGAGAGAGAGAAGGATGGGTCAGAAGAGAGACACACCCTGTAATGCATGCATTCTCAACGCGAAGCTGCTGCTGCTGCTGCTGCTGCTGCTGCTGCTGCTACTGCCGCTGAGAATGCTGTTGCTGCTGCTGCTGCTGCTGCTGCTGTTGCTGCTGCTGCTGCTGCTGCTGCTGTTCAAGCCCGGACCCCTGGGGAGCTGAGAGCCTCGACAAGCAATACCCTAAACCCTAAACCCTAGGGCCAGCAGCCCTAGGGTTTAGGGTTTAGGGTTTAGGGTTTAGGGTTCACACAACTCCGGATCAGTCGGTGTTCAGCATAGAAACCCAAATAGAAAAGCTCATTGGGTTTAGGGTTTAGGTTTTGCGGTTTAGGGTTTAGGGTTTGTGGTTTAGGGTTTATGGTTCGGCGTCTAGGAATTACTTTTAGGGTTTAGGGTTTAGGGTTTAAGGTGTAAAATTTAGGGTTTAGGGTTTAGGGTTTAGGGTTTAGGGTTTAGGGTGTGGCGGTTGCGGCAGGTGGCTGCAAGCGACGAGATCTACGCTGGGTGAGTTTAGGGTTTAGGGTTTAGGGTTTAGGGTTTATAATTTAGGGTTTAGGGTTTAGGGTTTAGGGTTTACAGTAGCAGCATTTCTATTTCGTAAAGAAATTATGGGGGCCCCCAAAGGAGGTCTGGGGGCCCCCCCTGCGGGGGGCCCCCCGGGGGCCCCCCTGGTCACAGCAGCAGCAGCAGCAGCAGCAGTAGTAGTAGTAGCGAGGGTTTTCTTCTGTTTACAGTTTAGGGTTTAGGGTTTAGGGTTTAGGGTTTGTTAGTTGAATATAAATATAAAAAAATAAATAAAAAAAAAACAAAGAGGAGGAGACAGTATATGTCTTTGTGTGTTTATCTCTATACTTTGTTTTATTTATTTTTTTTTTATTTATATTTTTTTTTCTTTTTGTTTTTGTCTTTTTGTTTTTTATTTATATTTATATTTATATTTAATTATATCTATATAAATATATATATACATATATATATGTCTCTGTCTCTGTCTCCTCTGTCTTTGTCTCTATTTTTATTTCTGTGTCTGTGTCTTTGTCTGTGTCTTTGTCTTTGTTTTTTTTTTTTTTCATTTTTGTCTTTGTCTTTTGTTTTTTAATTTCTTTATCGGCCTCCTCTGTCTCTCTTTACCTCTGTCTCTGTCTCCTTCTGTCTCTGTCTCCTTCTGTCTCTGTCTCTGTCTCTGTCTTTGTCTTTGTCTTTGTTTTTTTTTTTTCTTTTTCTTTGTCTTTGTCTCTCTGTCTTTGTCTTTCTCTTTTTTTCTGTGTGTCTTTGTTTTTTTTTTTTTGTTTTTGTTTTTGTTTTTGTTTGTGTTTCCATCTCTCTTTCTTTATTTTTATTTCTCTCTGTCTCTGTCTGTCTCTGTATTTGTCTTTGTCTTTGTTTGTGTTTTTTTTTATTTTATTTTTTTCTCTTTCGCTGCTTCTCCTCACGAAGCAGTAGCTTTGTTGCTGCTGCTGCTGCTGCTGCTGCTGCTGCTGCTGTTGTTACTGTTGCTGCTACTACTGCTACTGTTGCTGCTTCTGCTGCTGGGCTGCTGCTGCTGCTGCTACTGCTGCTACTGTTGCTGCTTCAGCTGCTACTGTTGCTGCTACTGTTGCTGCTACTGTTGCTGCTGCTGCTGCTGCTGCTGCAGCAGCAGCAGCAATATTTTGTAAGCAAATTCCTAAAATTATTTTCACTTCATTCGGCAGCAACAGCAGTGCTGCTGCTGCTGTTGCTGCTGCTGCTGCTGCTGT